AAAAAAAAAAAAAAAAATGGCAGGCACAACTTTCTTTTTTTGTGTCCATATTGGTCCTGCTTCTAATAGAATTAGCCTTGACTCCTTCAGTGTTCCCTAGACATGAAGGCCCGTCTCTTACTGTAGATGCAGTCCTATATTTCCTGTGTAATGTAAGGCTTATTGTTTGGATATTTCTTAGTGTTCTTTGAATTAATGAAAAAAGAAATACAAGATGTAATTGATTCTGCAGCAATGTTAATATCTGCATTGTGAAAGAAGATGTTCCATTTAGTACACAGAAGGTACTAAATGGAACTCAGCTCCTCAATTTTATCAGCAGACAGTGAGTGAAAGGGATGGATGAACTGAATAAGGTTGAATTAAATTGAACTATTAGAACGGACATAGTGATCAGAGAGTTAGAACAACTAAAAGAAACTTAGATTAACCTGAAAGGAACTGATGAGGGTTAACTGGTATTTGACATAAGTCAGGATTTAAAACCAAACCGGAAGTGGGAGGAGAGAGAGATTTTTGTTTTGTTTTGTTTTGGTGTTTGTTGACTTTGTTTACACATTTATATATATATATATTTTTTATAAAATCTCTGCTTTTCATCAGTCTAAATAATGCATATTATGCATGTGTTTCTCTTGTATTAAACATCTGCTGAAATTCTGGCCTGTTACATAAGGGAAACATAACTCTGTGTTACTTGTCTATCCCTTTCTTTATTGAGTGAAACAAACCACGAGATTATGACAGATACTGGTAATAATGTAAAACATAAATGTGATGCCCCACTACACATGCAGCTATCACCTGTTTGTTGCTTTTATTCTTAAGATGAATTATTCTTGAATGAAGACATTGATTTGACACAAGTAAAAATATGGTTGATGGTGTGTCAAGAGATGTATTCTAAATGACACTTCTTCAGCTGAGAGTCTAAGAGTGAAGACACACACAGACGCTGCAGTTTTAACTTGCAAGGGCGTTTCACAGAGCGCTCACATCAGAGAGTGGGGCCCTGTGATCAGCGCCCTGTTCTTGCACTTGTCTTTTATTCATACAGAAGGAAAATGAAAACATTTGTTCAGTGGAATGTTGATACGTGAGCATGTGCGTATGTGATTGTGCGCATGTGCGTGTGTGCGAGGTCAGAACTGCTTGTTCAACTTCTTACTATCGCTGTGGGAAGATTCAGATACAAATATCAGAACACGTTTCATAAAGAACAATCAGTTCTGAGCAATGAAAAGATCATCATGCAGCATTCTATCACAAATAAACTTATATCATTAAAAGCTTATACTGGCTACTCAGTACAACCTT